CTAGATGTCTAAGCGAGAGTGTCAATCTCGAACCGAACAATGAATTGCCCGACTTTTCTAGAACTTGAATTAATTATCCCCGATTCCCTAGTTTCTTCATTTTCGCTTCATTTACATTATTAGGTAGAATATTGTTTTTATTTTGTTTCTTAGATAATAATTCATCCAATCTGCTATTTGATTAGAGTGTTTAGGATTTATTTTGATTTTATGTGCTATCAATACCAAAGCTGAATTCCGAACCGCCTTCCTCGTGAGATCGACCCGGGGAACGAATCTTTCGATTCGGTACTCGGTAAAAAGAATAATTTGTATACCACAAATTTTGCGCCATTGCCAGGGAAGGCAAGTAGGATATTTGGTTTTGGTATTGATTTTATTTTCCTTGTTTCTCTTTGTTTTGTGTTTTTCGTACTTTTTGTTCTTCTTTTTGTGCATATTTGTTTTTCTTTTCGTCTTCTTTGTTTTTCTCTTTTTCGTGGCTTCGCGTGGTTTTTCCTGTTTTGGTGTGCAGGTATAATGAACTTCAATCACGTGTACTACCCCCCTGCACTACCTCTCTTGGAATAACGAGCCAGTCTATTTTCCCGGGTACCACTCCCAACCGTACCCTTATTCTTCCGAGCAGTGCTGGAATCATCTTCCGGTCGAGCAAAATTATGAGGTCCTTAAGTTCAACGAGAAGCTCGACCGAATTATTAAGTTCATAGATTCCCAAGCAGCTCGAGAAAGAGAGGCCGCCTATCATGCGAAGCTCGACCAGATCCTGGCTTTTATAGAATCCAGAGAAGAGGAGGCAGCCTACAATGCAAAGCTCGATCAGATTCTCGATACTTTGGCATCCAGGCTGCCCGTAAGAGAGATCTGGAGTTCCAAGTTGAGAGCTTAATGGAGCGCATATAAAACGGTGGGATAGCGGGGTAAAGGTCGGGAGTTTTTCGACGGAAAGTTTTTTTGAACTGATTAGTAGAGGATGGGAAGTAATCCGGGGGTCAAGCTCTCAGCTAGACTCATGCCATAGAGGATCGAGTTGACAATCCTTCTCATGAGTTCACCATGGAACACAT